TTCTCCGCATGACCATTTTCTCTTTGTAGATCCTTTGGGCTTGAAGTACCCACAGCAAGTGGCTATAACCGGCCGCGTGGTTGTGGTTAGATTTCTCCTTGAAAATTCGAGGTCTTCTAGCCAGTTTATACTACAATGTGTAGGTTGGCTCTTGTTGTGGACTTCGTGTGTGATTTTTTCCCTCTCCATCTTCGTTTTCTCAGGTTACACCCGTATCCGGATGTATAGGCATGTGTAGCTACTTTTGTAGTCACATATGTGCATTCATTTCGTACCTGATGAAGCCAACCAGCAGAAATACGTAACGCTCGGGTTATCTATCGTATTTTCTGCTCGAATCCACTTTCCTTCTTTTGCGGTTTTTGCCCATTATTTCCCTTTTTTTTGTTATATACCTTTCTCCTTCGCTACAATCACCTGTCATCTGTGAAACAGATGTAGGAGGTTAGAAGGGACTTTGCCGGTTTTTTTTCGCCAAAATTGCTTTTCGATAATTTTTAATGTGTTCGGGTGTATTTATATACAGGGTGGCGCATCGAAAACGAAACAGACGCATTTACAGGCAGCTCCGTTTTTTTTTTGAAAAACGCTCAGACCCCTCGATTTTGTTTTCGAGGGGGACACAAGTTTGGAAAAAAATCACGTTAACAGGTGCAGCCCCCTGGGCGGGGGTGACACCAACCCTAAAATCTTAAATGGAAATGGTATCGAGTAACACCTTATTTTAAAGGTCTTTCAATTCCCTTTATAATGATGTAAAATACATGAGCTTCAGTTCGTAGTTTTGAAGATTTACTGATTTAAAGCTTAAAGTAGACTTTAATAGGTACATCAGATTAGTTTGTACTACTTTCCGAAGAAATTTGACTAATTTACTTAATAAGTAAATGCTTTTCTTCACTATACCCATGGTTTGTTTATCATTTTGTTGTTGAAAATAGCTATTGGAGCGTTTTTTTGTGGCAAAAAAGTTATTTCTTGAAGATAAGGAAATATCTCGTACTTATTTTAAATAGCAATTTAGTACATAGTTTGCGATTGATTTGACCAAACTTTGTTGCTAAAATAACTTGTAAAGCTTTATTACATAAATTAACCTTGGTATATTCTACAGCAGAAAGAGTTGAAATTATCGAAATATTTTTCGGAAATAATCAGTGCGCTAATAGAACAGCAGAAATATTTAATGAGCGACATGAGAACAGTAACGTGCATCGAAAATATGTTCTAGAACTTGTAGCTAAATTTCGGGAAACTGGGCCAGTCGCCAATAAAAAACGCAACATTGAAAATCCCATAAGGAACGAAGCAATAGAAGTGGGGGTTTTAGGGCAAGTTTATGTAGATCCTACATTAAGTACCCGCAAATTGGAGACTGTGTGTGGTGTTAGTCGACGTACTGTCCAACGGATTCTAAAGGACCATAGTTTTCATCCGTATAAAATTCACCTGGTACAAGAACTCAATGAAGGCGATTTTGATCGGCGATTACAATTTTGTGAAGATATGAGTGAACGAATTATAAACGATGAACATTTTCTATTCAAGATTTGCTTTTCCGACGAATGTTCCTTTTTCTTAAATGGCGTAGTAAATCGTCATAACTGCCGATATTGGTCCGATTCTATCCCAGAATTTATCATGAGGTTCATACACAGCAGCCACAAAAATTAAATGTTTGGGCTGGTATTTTTGGCGATCATTTAGTTGGTCCTTTTTTCTTACCTGAAAATTTGACCGGTGAAATGTATTTGGAATTACTGGAAGACGCCATAGATACTGCATTAACAGCCATAATTGAAAATCAGAATGATCGGCGGTACATTGCGAATAGGTTGATGTTCCAACAGGATGGTGCCCCACCACATTACGCATTACGTGTTCGACAATATTTAGATCAGACGTTTCCAGATCGATGGATTGGTAGAAGAGGTGCCATTGAATGGCCCCAAGATCGCCAGATTTATCACCTTTGGATTTATTTATCTGGGGTCATTTAAAAAGCAAAATCTATGCTACTCAGCCAACATCATTAGAAGACCTGTGACAAAGAATTGTGAATGAGTGCCTTCAAATTACTCCTCAAATATTGCAAAATGTGCGGCAACGTTTTGAGCAAAATCTTTATTATTGCATGGAGAGTCATGGTGGCCATTTTCAACATTTACTTGCCTAACAGGTCAGTTCATTCATTTTTAAATTACTTTGCTGCCAAATGTATTGATCTCCACTAATGATGATGTATTAGTTTTATTTAAGCTTTAAATCAATAAATCTGCAAAACTACTGAACTGAAGTACATTAATTTTATATCATTATAAAGGGAATTGGGAAATAAGGTATCACTCGACCCCCCTTTCCATTTAAGATTTTGGGGGTGGTGTCACCCCCGCTTGGGGGGCTGCACGTGCTAACGTGATTTTTTTGCCAAACTTGTGTCCCCCTCGAAAACAAAATCGACGGGTCTGAGCGTTTTTTTTAAAAAAAAACTCGAGCTGCCAGTAAATGCTTCTGTTTCGTTTTCGATGCGCCACCCTATATAATGTTAACACCTAACGATGGTTTCCGTCGTTATCAATCAACCCAATGTGTCCGACCTTTTGGTTTTATATTTGTAACAAGTGCTCTCATCCACGTGTTCGTTTTGAAACACCATTTGGCTGCAACCTCAGCGACGAGTAGTAAGTTGTCTGATGATTTAAATCCTCCCCGTATTGGTTGCTAGAATCATATTTGTGTTTACAGCTCCTGAAGATGGCTCCATAGAGAATGCCGAAAGCTCGAGATTACCGTTAAAACAGTTTACTGCAGCCTAAAAAAATTTTGCCAATTTCCCAATTAACAATTAATTGTATTTTTTGCCCAACTGGTCGTTGGCAATGGCAATGACTACTGCTCGTATATACAGGGTGTTTCAGAACTAAGGGATCAAACTTCTAGGAGTTATTCTGTGTAACAGTAGAAAACATTTGAGTATAGGGGCCCATATCCGGAAAAGTGTCACTACAGCCCTAAGGCGCGTTAAAATTTAGAAAGACGATGAATTGCCTAAATAGTATTTAATGCATTTAATTTTTTCCTTTTGTACATGATATCATCACAATTGTTCAAAATGTCTGCCTTCAACCTGAATACACCGATTTAAACGTCGCACATGATTTCGGCGGACTTGACTAAAAATTTCATACTCGTTTTGAATGATTTTAAATGCTGCTTTAATGCGTCCAATGAAGTCTTGCTCTGTTTCGTAAACCAAAGACTGTACATGTCCCCACAGGTTGGAGCAAGACATTTTGAACAATTGTTGTGATGATATCATGTACAAAAGGCAAAAATTAAATGCATTAAATCCTATTTACGCAATTCATCGTCTTTCTAAATTTTTACGCGTCTTAGGGCCGTAGTGACACAAATGTTTTCTACTGTTACACTGAATAACCCCTACAAGTTTGTCCGACCTGTTCTCTATACTCCATTCGTAGTCCATTTACGTCCGGCAAAACACAACATGCTCAAAAGCGAGATTGTACAGGTCGTATTTTCCTCAATGGTCTTGGAATAATCTAACAAAATAAATAATTATTTTTATAGAAAGAAGTTCACATACTTTTCACAATTCTTTATTCGATGGAAGTACTTGAATCATCGTCCGAATGGTTAATATTAATTATTTCAGGTTCAATTTGAATATCGATCATATTGTCCAGATCCCACATCCTTGTTTCGATTGTCTCTTGAACGTGACGGATGCAATATTTCCAACGGTTTGGCGTCACTCTGCTGACAGCTTCATAGAAAAAAATGTTTACGTCAGAAAATTTGAATGTTCTAATGTTTGAAGCCAAATTGGTTTTTAGATTTGCCCAAATAATTTCAATGGGATTTTATTCGCAGTGATAGGGGGGTAGCCTTAAAATGGTCTTATTTTGGTTTTTAGCCGTTTCGTCAATAACATTAAGATTAAGGACAATTTCTTTTGCCTGAATATTCAAATATCCCTTTTTGTCACGTTTTCGAGGAGGAGACATCACTGAAGAGGAAGCATGGCTGAAGGGAGCATTTTGAGAAATATTCTCAGTTTCATCTGCTGTATCGGTAGACTGATATGCTAACGTATAAACACACGATATGTATGCACCAAATATGAACAGCAACTGCCGGCATCGGCGTGCCGGCGGTACTCCTGAGTTCTATTCTGTCGAATGTTGCAGTTGTTCGTAGTTTTATTGCAACGAATAGATATTGCTACGCTTAGGCGGCTGCCGCTTTGCATCTTTGTTGCGCCGGGGCGTAAATAGACTACGAATAGGGTATACTCGTAGTTTATTATATAGCTATTTATACCGTAGAACAAATCGGAAACGATATATTCTAAAAAAAAAAAGTTCTTGTTTGAATAAGGTAGCACAAGCGGAACAGATACGAGGTAGCACAGTGATAATTGAGAAAGGGCATATTGAAATGTATCGTTTATTTTCAACTCACACTATGGACCATAAGAAAGTCTTTATATCTAACCATTGATCTTGATTAGATGTCGGTACAGAAATAAATTATATATCATGCAAAAGAACGTTTTATGTAGAATGTGAATTACCTGCGTGATTCTTCCAATTCGTTGTCCAATCACCTCAGTTTTTACAATGTATTTCATTTATGACATCGTAATATTATTATTTCTATCTGCTACCTCATCTGACTAATGCTATTTTATGCATCTCTTCGAACGTACCATTGTCATCATACAGAGTGCAGAGTGGATTTCTTAAATATGTCACTGCTCTTTTATGAATTAGATACTACAGAGATACCAACACTTGGGAAAATTTTGGGGTACATCCCAAAAGAACCAAATTATAGTCATAGTTGGTAAAGATGCATGTCAAGACAACTAAGAGTTAATATTTCTGATATGCTACTACAACATTACAAAATTATCTTGAGGGGGCACTCCAATAGACGTTAAAATGTGTTGAGGTATCATAGGATAGTTCACTTACATCAAATCCAAAACAGTTCTTCATATCATTAGACACTTTCTCTTCTGCCATTTCTTCATCTCCCATTTCTTGTTTCGTTGTTACCACTCTTGCTGTTTCCAATGCTTTCAGGACGTCTTCATCATTCAAATCTGTAAGAAGCACTCAAAATCAATAGAGCTTAAACCAGCACAAAATGGCGACATAAATCGACTAACTGTGTCTCAGAAAGAACTGCAGCGATCGATTACTTCGCAAACAGGAAGTTGGAGTCATGGCAAAATTGGCAATTTGGCCACAAAATTTTCAAATTATGATACTTTTGATTATACGGGGAGTAGATACTAATTTGCTCATTTTAAATCAAACTCTTGTATAATGTTTACTTTAGAATTTTATATAAGATTCTAAACATATTCCATAACACCCTACATACGGGGCGGTCCATCAATGTGGAGATGGAATACTGCTTCTAAACAAAAACTTTGTATATAAAACTATTTATGGGTTATTATACATGATATCTGTCTATAATACAATTATAGATAAGTTGCTTTATAAATTAATCGCTCTATTTTTTATTACACAATCAGTTATTTACCACTTTAAAGAAAAAAGTTTGATATTGTAACAAGAATGAATGGTACTGGCATCTGTTGGGAACTTCGCCAGGGACTCTCCTTCGGCATCGAGGCGAGGAGCGAGACTGACCCCGAAGGTTCTGGCTTGCCCACTATGTGGCGTACAGGAACTTTCTCGAATTAACGAGTACCTGCGATGCAGAATACATAAGCCGACGGCCGGAAGAGGGAACCAGAGTTGAGTGAATGGCGCGACATAATAATTCGTAAATAAGCAGTCAGACATAAATAGTGGTGCACATAAATGTTCTATCTAGTTAAGTTAAAGTTATTTGTGTTGTCTTATACAAATTAGTGCATTTCTTTTTGTGGAATCGAGTGTTTTAATCCACACTCAAAAGAACCCAGAAAAACGATACATTGGTATCAGGTGTGGGGTGTGGATTATTGGACATTAGTGAAAATAAATCGGATGATCAGTGAAGGAAGAATTGCGCGATTGGGTGATTTGAAAATTGCCAATTTAAAAAGAGAGCTGCAGGAAAGAGGGTGCGATACGGCTGGAAAGAAAGCGGAATTACAAGAGCGGCTTCGTAAAGCACTGATTGAGGAAGGCGAGGACCAGGATAATTTCATTTTTACTGGTGCAGGGGATATTGGTTTAATGCTGCAAAACCTTTTGACCAAGTTAGAAAACAAGTTCGTGGAAAATTGTGCCAACCTAGAAGGAAAGCTCGTGGAAAATTGTGCCAACTTAGAAGGAAAACTCGTGGAAAATTGTGCCAAACTAGAAGGAAAACTCTTGGAGTTACACGAAAGTACAGCCAAATTAGAGTAGAAATTTTTGGAAAATATCGCCAATTTAAAAAAAGAATTGGAAGATGAAGTTATGGAAAAATCTTGCGAGTTGGAAAAACGGATTTCAGAAACTTTGGAGGACAAAATTCAAGAAGTACAAGGCAAGTTTCCCGCTTTAGACATCAAGACCATCGACGAAGGACGGCGTGGACTTCCGCTGGATATATCAAGTATGGATGGAGTTTCTGTTGGGTCAGCTGGTCATCTGCGAATGAAACCGCCGCAATATGATGGTACAACGCCTTAGAATGTCTACCGGCGTCAGTTTCAGGCAGCCGCGAATGTAAATGGTTGGTCATCGACCGAAAAGGCAACTTTGGCCCCACGAGTAGATGCTGCAGCTATTCTTCAAAGAATATCACCCGAAGAGCAAGAGGTCTACGAACAGCTAGTAGGACATTTGGAGATGCGATACGGCCAGTCACATTTAGAACATGTCTACCATACACAACTAAAGAATCGGTTCCAGAAGTCGAGCGAGTCCTTGCAGGAGTTCGAAGCGGATATTGCTCAGTTGGTACGATTAGCACATCCCGACGTCCGGGAAAGGATAGTGGAGCGATTGGTAGTTTAAGCATTCCTGGATGAACTTCGTGATGGTGAAATGAGGCAAGCCTTACTACTAGCACTTCCCCTTAAGCTAGATGCTCTAACTCGGGCCTTAGAATTCGAAGCCGCTAAAAACACAAATAAAAGCTAGGTCCGAAGCCGCCAGATGGTACCAGGAGGTAATGAATTCGAAGATTCCGTCAAGCGCATTGTTAAGGAACTTGATGGTGAACGTCGCCGCCAGAACAGCAAGTTGGAATGCTGGAAATGTGGAAAAATAGGGCACGTTAGGAGACGCTATCCTGAAGGTGCTAGTCCTCATCCGGCTAATCCGGAAAACTAAGGGAGGTCGATATGAAGGGGCTATCGTCGACCTGTAGCCAACAAGCCCCATCAGTTAACATCTGTTTAAAAGTGTTTTTGTCGATGCTTTTGTAGATGCGACTCTCCACACCGTACTGCTTGGTTCGACTAAGACTATCGACCATCCAAAAGACGACTACGAACGGCGACGGGAGACCGAGCAAACGTGTACGGTGAAGTAAACATCGCATATGGAATAGGGAAAGTTACATTCGAACATCCGGAGATAGTAGCTGATATTGCGGACGAGGTAATCATCGGAATGGACATCATGGACACAAAGGGCTTCGAGTTGAACTTTAGGCAAGGAATCTTGAGAGTCAACAATGAGGAGGTAATTTTACATGCATGACAAGGCTATTGGCCGAGGGATATCAGTTGCAAAGGCCCTTGTGCGTGCCGATAAAAATATTCCTGTAAGACTAATGTCAGTCATTACCCTGTGTCATTGAAGAAGGGCTCGGAGCAGGGACACTGCTGTCCAGTTTCTTCAATCATTCGAAATATGCCAGCTGTGGCAAACTCAGGGGTCATTCCTAAGGAACAAACTGAAACATCTAATACATAGATATCGAGATGTATTCGATACTGGACAGAAAGGAAGAACCAATATAGTCCAGCAAAAGATCAATACGGAAAATGCCCGTCCCATACGGCAGATGGCAAGAAGGTTCCCATTTGCTAAAAGAGAGGAGGTCGACAAGATCGTAAACAGTATGGCCAATGAGGGAATCATTGAACCGACCAACAGTCCATGGGCCTCACCGGTAGTTTTGGTTAAAAAGAAAGATGATTCAACCAAATGTTGTGTGGACTACCGATTAAACAACATGACCAAGGACAGCTACCCTCTATCGCGTATTGATGGCACTCTGGATACCTAGATCTAAAATGCGGATTCTGGCAAGTAGAAATGGCCCCTGAAGATTGGGAGAAGACAGCATTTACGGTGGGCACCTGATTATGGCAGTTTAATGTGATGCCATTCGGCCTGTGCACTGCTCCTGCCACCTATGAAAGGCTGATGAACATGATTCTAAGAGGACTACCCTGGAAAACGTGCCTGGTTTACCTTGATGACATTATTGTGGCGGGAAAATCATTTGGGGACCACATGAAGAATCTAGAGGAAGTTTTCTTAAGGCTACAAGGTTCTGGCTTGAAATTAAGCCCAAAGAAATGCCACCTGTTTCAAAGAGCTGTGCAGCATCTTGGCCATGTTGTTCCCAGTCAGGGAGTCGCGGTTGACAAGGAGAAAATCCAGACTGTAAAAGAATGGCCAGTTCTGAAGGACAAACGTGAGCTACGCAGCTTCCTAGGATTGTGTACGTATTACCGACGTTACGTGGAAGGATTTGCTAACATCGCAAAACCATTGACCAGGCTGACAGAAGGAGAACGCAAATTCCAATGGGACAGCATTGCCAACAAGCACTTGAAAGAAGCTTTAACAAGCGCCCCTATACTCAGCTATCCACTGCCAGAAGGAAAGTGTGGTTAGGTGCTGTATTATCCCAAGTCCAGGAAGGCAAAAAAGAAAAGGTCATTGGTTATTTCAGCATAACACTGTCCAAACCAGAGCGTAACTATTGCGTTACCCGGAGGGAGTTGCTGACCATCGTACAGGCAATGGAACATTTCCACATATACCTCTATGGCAGAAACTTCTTACTCGGGACCGATCACGCAGCTTTAAAATGGCTTCTCCAGTTTAAGAATCCAGAGCGACAAGTTGCAAGATGGATAGAGAGGCTGCAAGAGTATAACTTCTACATCGAACATCTAGCAGAAAAAATCCATGGAAATTCAGATGCCTCATCGAGGAAACCCTGTTTAGAGGATTGCAAGCATTGCCAGCGGACAGAGGAGAAAGATGCCCAATTAGTAAGAACCACTATCGTTAGTGATACTTGGCAAAATGAAGACCTCATCAAAGACCCCGATCTCCAAATAATTCTGAACTGGATGAAAGAACAACGGAAACCAGCCTAGGAATAAGTTTCCAAGTATTCCCCTACCATAAAATTATTTTGAGCACAATGAAATTCTCTCGTTATGAACGACGGACTCTTAATGCGTAAAATGGTATACCCTGACGGCAAAGAAGAAAGAAGACAAATCGTTATGCCCAGATGTCGGATGTCAGAGCTGCTAGAACAAATCCATTCCGGTGTGTCAGGAGGTCATCTCGGAGTTACAAAAACCCTGGGCAAAGTGAAGGAGATATTTTACTGGGTCAATTGCAAGGAGGACGTAAAAGACTGGTGCAGAAAATGCGTTGTGTGTGCGACAAGTAATGGACCGCAAATGAAACCAAAAGCCTCAATGCGCCAATACAACGTGGGGAGCCGCTTTGAAAGGATTGCTATTGATGTGGCGGGACCCTTTCCAGAAAGTGGAGCAGGGAATAAATACATCATTGTGGTAATGGATTACTTCAGCAAGTGGGTTGAGGCAAACGCTCTGCTAGATCAGAAAGACTCCACGGTAGCCGATGCTTTAGTAAAGGAATGGATCTGTCAATTTGGTGTACCACTGGAGTTGCATTCGGACCAAGGGCGCAATATCGAGTCAAATCTGTTCCAAAATATCTCTCAAATTCTTGGGATTAAGGAGACCGGGACTACTGCCTTACACCCGCAGTCAGATGGAATGGTGGAGCGCATGAATAGGACCACTAACCGGTATTTAGCTAAGGTAGTCTCTAGCCATCAAAGACACTTGGATAGTTTTCTTCACCTCTTCTTTACCGATCGTCGATTCATGAAAGCACAGGAGAGACCCCGGCTTGAATAGTTATGGGAAGAGAACTTCGACTCCCATGCGATCTAAAGTTTGGCTGTCCACCAGAAATATATATAGATATTGGCTACGTAAGTGAGCTGCGTAGAAGAATGGACGTCATCCATAGCCACGTTCGTGTTTCAATTCAAGATGCCAGCGACCGGATGAAGGAAGCTTATGACGTTAATGCCAAAGACCAGAGGAATGACAACGGTGATACGGTTTGGCTTTACGACCCAAAGAGGTGAAAAGGGCTGTCGCCTAAACTTCAATCATCCCGGGAGGGACCATATAAAGTTCTGGAAGCCATCAATGATGTTCTCTAAAGGATTCAGAAGGCACCAAGCGGTAAAGCCCGAATTGTACATTTCAACCGACTTGCCCCTTATCGTGGAAACAACGAAGATGTAGCAAATCCAACGAGACGGGACATGACATCTGACTAATTTATGGTCCACCATGCTAATGGCTATAAGAGTCGGTATGGCGTAACATGTGAAGTACAGCACGATCTGTTTACCACTTCACCAGAGTATGCCCTGGCACACTGTGTGGCTCAACACTTGAGAATATCGAGAGGTATAGCAAAGGTCTTTCTCAGGAAGTTTGGAAGAGTGCACGAGATGCGTCAATCTAACCCAGAAGTCGGATAAGTACTCCAAATAACTGAAGAGGGTACCAACCGAAAGATCTTCTATCTGGTTACCAAAAAAGATTTGTATCAGAAACCGAATTACGAGGATGTCTCGAACGCCTTGTGTTCTCTTAGAGAAGTGTTGCTAGCCCAGGACCTGAGAAAACTGGCAGTACCTAAGCTGGCATGTGGACTGGACAACCTGGACTGGAGGATCATCCGAAGCCTGCTTGAGGTAGTCTTCCCGTATACAGGCATTAGATTTCTGGTATGTTGTCACAGTCCTAGAGGGCTACCTCCTGGAAAGAATGTGGATTGTTACTTCTTCAAGAACTTCTACTACAAGAAAGGCCAGTCGTGCCGATATCGACATCCACCACCAGTAAGATCATTCCGGGACGGAATGAGTTTAGGGAGGGGACAGTGTAACAAGAATGAATGGTACCACTAGCGCCATTTGTTGGGAACTTCGTCAGGGACTCTAATTCGGCATCGAGGCGAGGTGTGAGACTGACCCCGAAGGTTCTGGATTGCCCTCTATGTGGCGTACAGGAATTTTCTCGAATTAACGAGTACCTGCGATGCTGAATATATAAAAGCAGACGGCCGGATGAGGGAACCAAAATTGAGTAATTCGTGCTACATAATAATTCTTAAATAAGTAGTCAGACATAAATAGTGGTGTACATAAATGTTCTATTTAGTTAAGTTGAAGTTAGTTGTGTTGTGCTTTAAATAAATTTAGTGTATTTCTTTTTTTGGGATCGAGTGTTTTAATCCACACCCAAAGAACTCAGAAAAACCCTACAATATATTTATCGGTTTTTGGTTATTAGTTTTTGAGCTATTTATTCTGTATTTTTTATAAAAAAACACTAAATTTTGACGCCCTCAGTTTCCACGTATGCTCTCTTGAC